ACTCTCTTTATTACTGCTCCCTTTTCAGCTTTTGTCTTGATGTTTTGGAACTTTATAAGCATCTAGAAGGAAAATTCTAAGTAAGAATTCTAATCCAAGAAATTTAATCCTTATTCGCTAGATAATTAAAGTCGTTATTTAATTTATTAAACTATATAATTGGAAATTTTATAAAGCATTCTAGAAGGAAAATCTAAGTAAAGAAATTTCTAATCCAAGAAATTTAATCCTTATTCGCTAGATAATTTAAAGTTCGTTTATTTAATTTATTTAAATATATAATCACAGTTGTACCCTTGGTTTATTTGTTTTTATTTTGTTTATTTTATCTTAATATAAAAAAAAAGGGTGGTTTTCTTTTTTTTGGTTGTTTTTAAAAAAATTTTTTTAATGTTTCATAATTTAATGATAATATTAAAAATAATTTAGCAACATCAAAAATGAAATAACATTAAATCGGATGGTATTAGTTATTAGTAAACAATTTTTTAGGAGTTATTTCCATATTAATAATATAGCTAGTTTTACCTAGTTTCTTTAAACAATTTCTCTTTTTTTTTGAAAAATTCCGATAGTTATTCTCTCTTACATTTATTCGGAGTAAATTTAATGTTTCATAATAATGATAATATTAACAATATTAGCAACATCAAAAATGAAAATAACATTAATCGATGGTATTAGTTATAGTAACAATTTTAGGAGTTATTTCCATATAATAATATAGCTAGTCTAGTTCTTTAACAATTCTCTTTTTTTGAAAATCCGATAGTATTCTCTCTACATATCGGACTGTCCTTATATTCACACATTACAATATAAGTGATTTATACCACCAATGCATTTTAATTGTTAATTTCCTTTCACAATTTGCTTAACCATGATCACTTGTACAAGGTATTCTAACTCAATATTTAAACAACATTCACATATTAATTTGATTAATAGCTTGAAATTTAAGCATTTCTATTTTCTGTGGAAGTCCTTATTGTCCATTAACCACATTGAAGTCGATTCCTTATACGATGCTCATATATCTCAACTATGTGTAATTAAATTTAGAAAACTCCAATTTTGACTAATTCGATTAATTTTATATTTAATCACATAACTAATTCAAGTTTTGGAATTTATACTGAAAATGAGGAACTAGGTCTTAGAGCATACCAATCGAAAATCGGACTACAGTTCCACGATCTGCGTGAGGAGAAGGTGATTCTGTCTCTTGGGCCCTTGCCGGAGCGTCGCTGGCTGGTCAACTTATTGTCTTTAGGAGGTTATTTATTTGCTTCAAAGCTTTCAGAGATGGGTTCCATGCCTTTTATAAGCCTGGACAGATGTCACCTAAAAGGTCCATTCGGAGGAGTGTTTCTCTTAGCTGTGACTCCTGATACAAATAGAGGGGTGTTTTCAAATGCTGGGTAAGTTGCATTTATGTCTGCCACTAGCATATTGTTTGGTATTAATAGAATTTTGTATAAATGCCTAACATGGTTTGACAGATGCTGTCAAAACTTGGTTTGCTAATGCATTGCATAGGTTTTGTTGTAGGCATATTGAAATAAACTTCAAAAAAGAGTTCCCTTGTTTAGCTCTTAAAATGAATTTTGAGCTAGTGCAAAATCAACATTTATTGAAGATTTCAACTTACATATGAAAGAAATAGGAAAGAAGTTAGATGGGAAATCCAATGTATGGCAAATGAAAATACCTATGAATCAATGGAGTATGTATGCATTTGATCATTATGCCAAAAGTAATCATGTTTCAAACAATATGATAGAATCATTTAATGCATTGATAGAAAAACTGAGGGCAATGCCAATTGTAAGTTTATTAGATACTTTGAGGAAGAAATATATAGTTCGTCTGCATAAGAGATATGCTAACGCTACATAATGGAAGGGCAAACTAAAACCAAAATGCATGAAGGAGTTAAGGAAGTTGATGAAAGAAAGTAGACTATGCAGAATGATGCCAAGTAGAACTGATGAATATGAGGTCAAAGATGGGCCTTTTGCATTTGATGTTGATTGGCCAAGAGAACATATACTTGTTTAGGGTGGGTAGTTTCAAGCTTACCATGCAAACATGTTTTGTTGTCTATTGGGTACAGGAGGCTTAATATATAAGATTTTTACCAATTTTACACAGTTAAGAGGTATACTGATTGTTACAGGAGTGTAATTCATCCAATTTCTGAGAGTGATTTTCAAGTACTTGATCCCTCTGACAAGATTAAGCCACTTGATGTAAAGAGGAAAGTAGGTAGACATAAAAATAAGAGGAATAGATAGGAGGGTGAAGGACCTACTAAAAGAAAGAGCATAAGATCTACCGCTGTAAAGGTGTAAACAATGCTGTCAGTTGGGCCACAACAAGAGAACATGTCAATCCCAACCTCCATTACAGTGACATGTTATTTATAGTTTATTTATTTTTTTTTTTATATTTACTGCTGAACTAGTGTTTGTGAACTGTATATTAATTTCTATTTATTATTAATATCAAGGCACGAGAAAGAGGCAGAATAGAGGACAATCTCAATCTGCAATTACCAGCTCCAGGCCTGCAGAAACAACATCAGTGAGTGGGACCTCTTAAGCTGGACAGAGACAGATTATGAAATTTTCTATATGTTTTGCAGGGGGCACAAGCAGTTCCAGATTGATTTACTCTAAACTTTTAACTAGGAGCAACAATATATGATCTTTTTTTTTTTTTATTTTTTTTTATTTTTATTTAGGAAGTAAATGTAATGGTAAATGATAATTTTGCAGGTGGCCACAAGCAGTTCCAGATTGATTTACTCTAAAAACTTTATTAACTAGGAGCAACCAATATATTGATCTTTTTTTTTTTATTTTTTTTTTTTTATTTATTTTAGGAAGTAAATTGTAATGGTAAATTAGGAAGTAAATGTAATGGTAAATGATAATTTCCTGTGTTGCTTGTGCCTACTTGTAAATTTATTGGACGTTTGATTTACAAGCACTCATAATATTTTGGTTTCTGTAAAAAATGCAAAGTACATTTCATCAAAGTGTTGCCTACTTATAAATATATTGTAACTAGTTGTGATATACAACAGGTGATGTTAATGATTTGCAGAGTTGTTTGTTGGATTTGTAAATTTCATTTTCTGTGGCTGGCCAGTTGAAATTGTATATATAGGGGATTGAGCCTTGAATATAAATTTAACTAACAAATATGAACACATATAAATAGGAATTTAACTAATAGATATAAACAGAATCTTTATATATTAATCATTCATGCTCATATGAAAATTGTATTGGTTTAAACAAACACTAACCTGTAGCCCATTTACTGCATGCTACCAAAGAAAAGAAGAAAAAAAAAAAAAAAAAAAAAAAAAAAACAAACAACCACCAACCAAAAAAAAAAAAAAAAAAAAAAAAAAAAACAACAACACCAACCATTCATTACAACCCCTAAAGTTTCACCAACCGTTCATTACAAATCCACCTACATCTATTCAATGCCTTTAGACCCATCGGCTACAACTATTCAAGGTAAACCACGACCCCAACCTCTAGTTAACAATCAAAGTCAAAACCACAATGAATGTAATGAAAATAGACAACATGCATAACGCTTCAGATGGCTAACTACTACATCCATCCTTCCAATTTTCCACAAAGGCTTCTATTTTCCTCGTTCGAGTTGTATACCATATCTTTGATATTTAAAACGTCTTTGACAAGGGTTCTCTGGAGTTCGGCTTCAAAATCATTTACCTCCCTTTCTATTGACCGGCTCGACACCATCCCTCACACTTGTCTCAGAGAGTGACTTAGCGGACTTGCACCATTCCGAAAAGGTACCATACTCATTATCCATACGATAATAGTAGAGTCAGTTCTTATTTTTGGTAGTAGATTCAAATGCTAGCCGTCTTTCTACATTTGCAAAGAGCATTCAGGAACCTGCCTTCTATTCATTATCTCTATGCTCAATGACATCATTTTCTTTCAATCCAAAACCCTAGCCTCATTCTTTTTCCAAATCACTTTTGTCTTTCAACCAAAACCCTAGCCTCATTCTTTTTCCAAATCACTTTTGTCTTTCAATTAGAAGTTCTCAATACACAAATATTATTGATTCCACAATATAACACGTCAGCAAAGGGGTATTATTGCCTTTATAATATATTCTCTCTCTTTTGATCTTAGTTTTCTTATTCACTTAATGGAAAAAGTGGAAAAAAATGGGACGAAGAACTGAATTTTGTGACGCATTGAAATATGAGGATTTCAGAAAAACATTTCTGGAAAAGCAATTCATTAATTGTATTTTGATATATGCAGGGGTACAATAGTAATTTTCCCAAAAGAGAATTCATTTGACGATATATCAGTATATAAAGCTCGCTATTCGTGCCTTGCCCACGGTCTATGGAGGGTTATCAGCTTTTCTGTTGAGATGGAGCTCAAATATATAACTGAATTTCAAGAATTAAGCAGACAGCTATATTATATATAGTGCAAATGCTGCTTTCACTGACAACTGGAGAAAGTGGACCTGTGGAGTGTGGATTATTCTATATATATATATATATTGCAAGTATAGATTAATTAGTTGGATCATCCACTTTTCAAGCCAATCAAAAGAAAAAAAAGGTGACACAGAGAGAATTTGCTCTCATTTTTGGTTTGCTTGAAAGATATTGACATTTCTTCACGCTTCATTGATTTATACATTATTAAAAAATTCTTTAATGTTCTAAGCCTTTAGATTTCGTTTGCTGCCAAAATTCTTTTACAGCTTCTACGCTTCATTGTTTTCTATTTACATTATTAAAAAATTCTTTAATGTTCTTAAGCCTTTAGAATTTCGTTTGGCTGCAAAAATTCTTTTACAGCTTCTATTTCTGTTTCACTCTTAGCTGGTTATATAAACCATAGTGTGGGCCTTGGTTTGTAATTCTTTTTTGTTTCTTTAGTTTTCCTGAAGAAATGGGGATGAAGTTAGTAATTCTTTTTTGTTCATTAGTTTCCTGAGAAATGGATGAGTTAGTTGGTAGGGTGGGTGGTAGATTCAAAATATCCTTGACAGATTCTACAATGATGCGAATTGTGCATTCTGCAATGGATAAAGCACATGAAAGAGCCCAATCTAAGGAAGGTGTTATAGAGCGACTGACTGAAATATCCAAGTTCTATGAGTTGGCAGTTATGCAGTTGGAGGGGTGTTTGAGTTTTGTTCAAGAAGAAGCAGATAGTAGTTCTGAAATCAGCAATGAAGAGGTATTATGGGACTTGACAGACATTAGAGATCGTCTTATAGGACGTCTCAAGGAGTTGGAGCTGGCCATTGCAGAAAAGGATAGAGAGTTAACCAAGAGAATAGAAAATGAGTTGAAGTTTAGACAAGCATTGGAAATGAAAGAAAGAGACCTGGATTCTTTATGCGCCAAGATCAAGCTTGAGCCGACCAAAATAGAAAGTGTTGAGGCGCTTAGTCTTGGCAATAAGGGAGTTGGTGATGAACTTATTCTTGGGAATCGGGTAGCAGATGAGGAGTTCTCTGGGTTGAAAAATTCGCTGGATCGGCAGGTGTGGAATATCAAACATAAACTAGAACCTGAAGATAGGAGGAGAAATAGGAGTTTTGATAGTATAAAGATTGAGCAGATGGGTTCTGACTAAAGATTTGAAAGCAGGATATAAACTAGAACCTGAAGATAGGAGGAGAAATAGGAGTTTTGATAGTATAAAGATTGAGCAGATGGGTTCTGACATAGACATCTTGAAAGAAACTATGGATATTGCTTTTGGAAAGATGCAGAATTCTATGTTCTTCTCTGATATGGAACCCATAGAGCAGCAATGGAGATCGACAATTGAGAAAGATGCATTAGGTATTTTGATCAATGGTTTTGTGAGGGATATTCAGGAGAATTTCAACGTAAAAGTTAGAGGGAGAGAAAAACAAGTTTCTTTTGGACTGAGTGAGCATCTGTCGGATTTGATGAAAGAGATTAAGTGCTTGAATGATGATCTAGAAGCTCTTTGCTTATCCCAAAGCAATCATGAGGGTAAGATTTATCTGGGGCCAAGAGAAAGGTCTTTATCAGAAGAAGATATTCATGGTAAACCTCAAAATTCCACCTTAAGGGTTGAGAAAGTATACCAACAGAAGGAGGTTGAAGAAGAGAATACAGAAGATGATGCTGTTACCTTTGTTGCTAAAATGATAAAGAATCATGAGTCCTTTATCAAGAAAAAATCCAGAGAGGCGCAGAAGATAAAGCGGGAAAATACTGGAGAAAAAGGTTGTTCATCCCCCAAGAGAGAAGAGGATCTTATTAAACCTAGAAGAAAGATCCAAGATGTTATTATAAGAATGGAAAATTTAATTAACTGGAATGCAAAACTTGGTGAAAGTTTTGGTGAGTATGAAGGTACTGACCATGAAAAAAGTTACTTCACACGACAGGAGAAATCTCATTACTTCACACGACAAGGAGAAAAATCTCAAATTGGGACCCATTCGAAAGATGGGCGCCAGGAAGAAAAGTCTGGAAGAACAATTTCAATTAGTTCCAATGCTGTTGAATGAATTACAGAATGAAATTAAAAAGATTTCTGAAAGAGAGAAAGAAAGATGCAAGTTGCAGATGATGATTTACTGGAGGAAAGGATTATTGCTGCTCATTTTTGAAGGTTTTCCATTTAAAATTTGAATTCCATGCCCAATTATATTTATAGTTATGACTGGAGATTCCTGATAAGAAGGAAAAGTATGCATGAAAGATTTGTTGGAGGGAAATAAAAGGAAATGAGTGGAATGAACAAATTGAAAAGTGGACCAGGCTTGTGTTCGATAGAAGAAGACATTAAAAATACCATCGTGTAGGAGCAAGCCGAAAGGGATTTTGGTTTTCTAACTCTTGACTCTGCGGTCATAAAATGTAGATGCCTCCAGAGATGAAAAGATCTTTGTTTGGAATGGACTTATAAATATCGAGGGAAAATTAAGGGAGGAAATATCAATGTCTTTTTTGGGAAACATGCAAGGAATGGAATGGAATTTTATTGGAAAGATCTTGGTAATTGAAAAAAAACCCTTATTTAAGGGAAAAGATATATATCAAAGATTGGTTTGGAAAAGAAAGACACACCCCAGGAGGATTATAGCTAAATACTACTGAATCACATTTATATATGCACCATTCCAAAAGAAGGGCCATTTTTAGGAGGGGAAAATTAATTAGAGAAAATTATTCCGGGATTACTTTTTGTTATGAACTGTGGGAAAGGAGTGGGAAATGAGGTTGTAAGAAAAGATTTCAAGTTTTACTGGGAAAAAAAGCCATGTTAGGGAAGAGAATGGCATGAGATTTTCAAAATTTGAAGACCTGAAGGGATACAGCCAAAATATAGAATAATTGCTTTTGCCAAGTAAAACTCAATGAGGTTCAAAAATTTTGGAAGAATTGTATCTGTTTCTTCAATTGTAATGAGTCCTTTCCAAAGCTATAGAAGCATTCAGCTAAGGATGATTGTCTGTAGGGTTTTCCTTGGGAAAAATGTTTTAAAAGGTTGGAAAGAAGAAAATTGATGCTCAAAACTTTGAGTGTCTCATTGGGGAAGAAATTTTCCTACTCTACCAATTGTAGAAGACTTATTGAAAGGAAAAAGCTGGTTGCTTCTTTATAGGGAAGCTGCTGCGCAGGGATCATTCAAACCTCAGAAGGTTTTCATATCTATGACAAGTTAGACAGAAGTTTCAGGGAGGTTCAGCGGACAAGGAGGATATTTTTGCGTTCCAAAAACAAGGATTTCCCCACTATTAAAAACTTGTATTAAAATGAGGAGGATTTTGAATTCCGAGGATTTGATTCAAAGCATAAGTTCTGAAATTATGCAGTATGATGCACATTATCACTCCATTCAAAAGAAGCATGAAAATTTGGATAAGCTAAAGATATCTCATGCGTTGTTTACTGAGATGGGAAGCACTTTCAGTTCTGTAAGCAGCAAAGTTGAGAAAGACCTGGAGCAAATTGCTTTGAGTAAGGCACTGTTGGACGAGCTAAGGACTTGCCTAGGTGTGACAGGTGAAGGTATAGAAAGGGTTGATGATTGGACAGCTTTTTCAGATGCCAAGAGGCCATCCTTGTCACAACCAAAAGAAAGCAAGGAGTTGAAAGTTGTTGAAGTGCTGGCATTCTGTTTCATCAAATATTTTTCTGTTTTATCAGTTTTCAATAACACTGCTGGAGTTCCTAATTTCCAGCCTTACAATCTCAGTTTATTATTTTGTGTTATTTGGTTTCATTTCCCTTTGGTTTTATTTATTTATTTCTGAAAATAGTTGTCCCCAAGACTCTTCCTTTATTGCATGCGCATGCTATCTCACAATGTTGCAAATTAATAGAATGATTTTTGACGCATGTTCTGATGTTATAGAGTATTTATTCTCCATTTCAATATTAGAAAGGCGTAGAAACATATTCCAACAAATTACTAGGATTTTGAAATCGTTAGAATTTGTGTTTATCTGAGAGGTCTTTTGTAGTCTAACCAGATTAAGGGTGTAATAAATAAATAATGTTGTTCTTCTTGTCTTTACGTAATCTGCGTTTTATAGCCAGCCCTTTGTAATGGAAATTGTAGAGAAAGTGAGAGAATGGAGAGAATTTGTCAGAAACCGTTCATATAGAAATAAAAATAAAAATCTTCTTTAATTTCATAGCTCAGTGGTTTCTGATCTTCTCTATATTTTGTTTCCTGTCCTCTCTAATCCAACAGATTTACATTCTTTGAGAATTAGTTGTTGTTTTGTACAGTGTTGAGCAGTTCTGTTAGTCTACTGATTTACAGGTTGGAAGAAGCAATGGATTATTTAAACCACTTTGCTGAACTTGTTGGCCAGGACATAAGGAGGAACTGGCTATATAGAAGGCTTTTTCAGTCGATCGTGAGAATCTCAGAATAGCTGAAACTGAGGTCTTGGCTACTGTTTTTTACATTGTGAAGTTGGTCTAGAACTTATAAAAATGTTCATCTTTTAATACATCATTTCAGAAAAGTCTTCTTAAATTGGCGAGGTGGATCTGCTAGGGTGATAAAGTAAGGTCTTTTATGTCTTAACTTGAGAAGATATTACGATATTCGCTCAAGTTATTTCACCATGTTGGAACAGTATTTAGGTTAGACAAATTCTTTTTTCCTTTGATCTTCTGTTAGATGCAGATGTAAGATTGTTTTTCTTTATCTTTGTTTCTGAAAGTTCAGGATCTTGCTCATTATATTTGTTGTTATTCAATTGATGGGTTTCTTTCTTGCTGTTAAGTTTCAGACATTTGAATATGATCAGGAAAGAATTAATGGTGTGAAGTTTGGTCGTCTATAGTGACATAGATTGTTGATTCTGGTTAGTATTTTTTGAACACTATAGGAACTATCAAGGAGAATATCGAATCATATTGACAAGTATGAAGTGTAATGATAAAGAGACCTGTCTTGTAGCAGGATTTTCTCTTGGTTTAATCAGTTTCAGTAGCTTAGTTTTAAGATATTTTAAATAGCGAATCGACTCCTTTTCGAAAGTTGACTACTATCTTGTTTCGAAATTTGACTCCTTGAACTAAAATTACAATTGGCCAAAAAGTAGACAATCTCTGTTCGACATAACCCATATTTTTCTTTGACTTACATTTGACACACAGGTTAAAGAATGGATCGTTCATTAGTAGAAGGTGAGAAAAGCTCATCCAATTCATTTCTCACTTGTCAAACAATAATTTCTCATCCTTTTCTCTCCTACCATGCTGCCCAGCAAAATCTAGCATTTCCTATTCAACTTCAGCCCTGCTCCTGTCATGTGTTTTTGTTTTTGACTCCCTTTCAGTTTTCATCACTTAAATTTTATGGGCTGAAAAGGCTTTTCATGGCTACAACATCAAAAAAGCATTCAGTGTTGAAACTCAATACTTCTAGTCCAATTTTTCCGAAATCTGCAGAAGCTGCTACTCTGCAAAAAATTATACGCCTGAACCTCGGAAATCCTCTTAATTCAGGATAAACCACTAATCAACAATGAGAATGATGCTATCTAACTTCACCCTTCCTTGGAAAAGGAGGCGCTTGTCTGTCTCCCACTGCTGTGATATGTATTACCTTAGGTGGAGGAGTTCATTAGTGAAGTTTCATTCCATACAAATGGCACTCATTCCAGAAAAAGAACATTATTCCAAACAATTATCAGAAGCTGCCTACATCCTTGAACATAAAACAGAAATACGCACAGTATTCAGCCCAACCAGTACTCTTGATTAAAGCTTTGAATAGGTTCAAAGCTCCTCCAGGTGTAAGGTAGTATGGTATTCGCTATAGATATTGTGAGATAAGGTCCTCGCACAAAAACTAGCAAACAAATAAAGGACGGCCAATCAAGGTGGAGTTTTCAAAGTCATGAGGGTGCTCCATCCGAGAATTAGAATCAACAGATGATGGAACATTTCTCTACCGCCTTGAAGAATTCAATAAAATCAAGAGTTTGAACATTATTGAAGTTGTCAATGAGCAGAAGGGAGAATCGCATTGATCATAGTCGGAAAGCAGCAGAAGTTCTTGATGGAAAAAGCCTCCAATCAAGAAGTTTCAAAGTTTCGCCATTCATGATGTTGAAATACAATGATGAGCCTTCATTTCTCTCCATCAATGAAAATTCACAGTTTGAATGCGTTGAAGATAAAAGCGGGAATTTTCATGACGAACCTGTTGCTGAAACATGCCTTCTACAGGAGATTGGCAGATTTTCAACTTTCTACAGTGTTAAGATAAAAAGAAGATTTTCGGCCGTGTAGCTTTAAATGAACATGCTCTAAGATGGAACATTTTTCATGGTGAAACTGAGGTGACGGCCTCTCTATGAAGGATATATAGTTTGAGCAAGAAAATTCAAGCGTTTTTTTCTACGAGAACAAATATGTAGTGAAATTCCTATAGGCCATCGGTCTTATCAGGGCAAATAGTCTGGCTTTTAGAGTTATGCTGCAGCTGCCTTATGCTGAAAGGCAAGGTGTTTTCTTGCTAGAAGATGATATCTACAATGAGAAAAAAAGAGCTGACAAGGAACGACAGAATTTTTGGATCCTACTTTATATTTTTCATCTGTGAGTTTCACATGCCTACTTTTACTTACTGCCCCGTACAGGTGAGTTCTGTTTGTTTTTTGATTGATTTTTGACTTGCGCTATTCATGTTTCTTTTCTGAAAAATGGGAACATAGGAAGAAAGTTCTTTAATCACCTACATTTGTGTTGAAAGAAACAGACTAACATGTGTTACCATGCTTCGTAGAACCTTATTCATACTAACAATATATCAATTACAAAACTTATGTTAAGACCAATAAAACAAATCGATTCTGCCTCTGGTCCTTCAAGCCTTAACTGAAATCATTTGAAAATATGAGTCTTCTCTATTATTATGTATATTGATCAACTGACATATTGTAATTTCTTGCTTTTCTTGTGCTTTTTTTTGCCTGTATTGTTAAAACACTTCATTCACATTGCAGGGAATGCTGTTGTTGATTGGGATGAAGGA